AGACCGAAACGTCGTCGTCCCTACACTTTCTAGTGTGGTTTGGTCAACATCTCTCAGTATCTTATACGTTATCATATTATAACTCCTCCCCATTTTTCTCTTAGCTAAAATCATAAACAATTTACATGTTATTCTTGGGATTTACAATGTGGGTACGTAGTCATGTCGATACAGTGCTTGCTCCTGATACCTACATCACCTCATTTTAATACGCCCCTGATACCTACATCACCTTATTTTAATACTATCCTGATACCTACATCACCTAATTTTAATACGCCCCTGATACCTACATCACCTTATTTTAATACTATCCTGATACCTACATCACCTCATTTTAATAGGCTCCTGATACCTACATCACCTGATTTAATACGCCCCTGATACCTACATCACCTCACTTTAATACTCTCCTGATACCTACATCACCTCATTTTAATACTCTCCTGATACCTACATCACCTCATTTTAATACTCTCCTGATACCTACATTACCTCACCCTAATGTGTGGGAATTACACCCTAGATCCTCAATGTCTTATAACTGGCTAGAGGAATGGTGTGATGAATGCTCTTGAAGGTTGTCGATGGTATTATATGTTTCTTGTGCCTGATGCTAACGTTATATCCAACTCCTAGATCTTTCTTGTCTGTGTGTATGTATGTGTGTGTGAGTGTGTAGGTTGAGTGGGTGTGTATGTGTGAGTGTTCATCTATTTTACCTATCCAATAGCTGGTTGTCTATTGTAATGACTCTCAACCTATTTTAACTATCATATCTACAAGGCTGACTATTGACCATCTCTTGGATACAAACCTTAATTACTGATGTGTGTGTGTGTGTGTGTGTGTGTGTGTGTGTGTGTGTGTGTGTGTGTGTGTGTGTGTGTGTGTGTGTGTGAGAGAGAGAGAGAGTGTGTGTGTATGTGTGTGTGTGTTTGCCTTTATTTATGCATACATGTTTATATATTTATTTTCCTCCATGCCCTTTCCAGCGGAGGAGTTTTGAGAATAATACCACTTACTATGCAATTTGAACCCATAACTCTTTCCTCTGAGGCAACGCCTGCACGCGCTGGGAATTTATGGAAGAGAAACGTCGTGACATATTTTCCTCCATTCTTGTCTCACTTTCTGCTACTACTATACAACTCACCTCTCACTCCTCTTTGTCTCTCTCTCTCTCTCTCTCTCTCTCTCTACCACTGGGATACTCCTCTCGTCATGTAATATGCAGTAGTTAGCCTTAAAAATGAAAATGCTGAATGAATTATCTATTCTTTCCAAATGTTTACCCTGATTGACATTTAACAAGACCCTGAGAAACAGTCTCCATTGAACATGGCGAAATTTATTCATTGTTGTCGGAATATTTCCCCATGATCTACATAGATCAGGAGCTGCCGGCTCTATGGAGAGAAAATTGTATTGTCATGCGAGTTATTTATATATATATATATTTTTTACTATCAATAAGTGGAGAAGCAAGGTTGTTCCATTGTGTCGTTCACCAATTTATCGATGACAGTGTTCATTTGGTCGTGGAATGTTGAATGAATTTCATCACAACACTGAGCATTGAAGGAATAACAGGATTTCGAGGAATGGGCAGCTCTGCAGAGCGCACAATGCATTCGAGATAAGATTTATTAGCGTGAGCTATGATTAAGTTGTCTGCAGAAGTATCGGATGATGCATTTTCTGCAGAGCAACACATCTATACGGTAAGAGAGCGGCAATATGATCATTGATACTGACAGAATGTTTTATTGATATGAAGGTCAAATGCGTGTATAAAATGTACCAGTTATCTCATTATATATATATATATATATATATATATATATATATATATATATATATATATATATATATATATATATATATATATATATATATATATATATATATATATATATATATATATATATATATATATATGTTTTTTGTGTGTTTAAGTGCTTATTATATCGACTGCGCAGGTGCAGAAATCATAATTTCTGTATGTTTGGACATTTTTATTATTTTAAATTATAAATTTGTGATTACCAATCCTAATATATAAAACTCAGACGTAATAACCATTTTTTGTGCTCAGAGATTCTGTTTGGGGGATTAATGAGATTATGTACCACGTAGTGATGGGTTTTGTCTTATTTGATTTTTAATATAATCGGTTACATTACATAAGAAAATAAATTTTCGTTGCTTATCCAAAATTCTTAAATGTAGTTATTATTTTAAATATTCGCTTATTATTATTAATAAAAGTATAGCTCTTGTTTTGTAAATATTTGCTCATATTAAGATATTTCTATGTTTAAGAGAGAGAGAATGTCTGTTTGTTTGTCTATTTGTCGATCTTCCCAAGTTGGATGCCAGACATTTAAGGTTAGCCTCACAAAAACTGGCACAGGGACAGATCTGAGGTACAGGATGAACATTGGCTACTCGAGGTCATAAAATTCTTAGAAATTTATTACTTGGGTATAATTAAATATTTCTTTCATATATGTATATGTTCTGATGATAAACTTCTCATCATTATTCTGATGAGAAATTCTTAGGACATCTCAACCAATAGTTCACTCATGACCAGAATTGAATCCGTAGCAATCAGATGAGGGGAGTGTCAATAATTACTAATATTTGGTCAAGACCTTCACTGACAAGCCTATGTCCGTCCCGTACCACAGACCATTCTACCTAAACATTTGGGTAAGACTCTAAGCATCTTGCCTCCCACTTCGGTCACTCAGACAAACAGACCGACATTCCCTCTTTAAGTGTAGATATATATACACACACAAACACACATGCGCGCACTATAAATTAATAACACTATCAATTAGATTTTTGGAGTGATGTACACTGTTTCTTTTTCACAACACAGAAAGCTTTTACATCCGGTTGCAGTTGAAATAAAACAAGAGCAATATTGCTACATGAAAGTACAAAGGGAATAATTTAAATTAATGGAGGTGGATGATATCGAATCGTAGAGATGACTGAAGCGTGTTGACTGACGTGTTATATATATATATATATATATATATATATATATATATATATATATATATATATATATATATATATATATATATATATATATATATATATATATATATATTTGCTAAACTTCAAAGTAAAAAGAGGTTTAAGACTAGAAAATGAAATGATACACATTTTTAGCAACTAAATTTGAATGACCTCCGTACCTCACTCTCAGAATTACTAATTCACACGCTTCTAAATAATTTATATAATTTATTAGGGCAATAATCCTCCGATATGTTTCACTTGGAATCATTACCACGGATAGAAATTGACTTTTCAGACTACGGACTGGCGCCAGATGCCATAAAGTGTGATCAGTGTCCATGACGAAATGGGAGGCAGGAGGAGAGATCGATGACAACCCCAGAAGACTATAGCAGACTATAGCAGTGTATAGTTTATATATAGATGATATATAGTACAGTGACACTGTCAGACCACGGAGGAAAATGAAACAGGAATTTCCTTAAGTACTTTCGTATATTAAATACATCTTCAGAAGGAAGATTCCTTTGATTCCTTCTGAAGATGTATTTAATATACGAAAGTACTTAAGGAAATTCCTGTTTCATTTTCCTCCGTGGTCTGACAGTGTCACATTCTTAATCACGTGTTTATTTTCGTGATATACACACATATAGTAAAGTGTATAGTCTCCTGCATGAGACTATACACTGTACCAGGGCTACGGCTGACTGTGAATAGCAGAATACACACACTGTATAGAATACAGTAGAACTTGAAATGTAGAAGATTAGACAGTAATGGACAACAGCAGGGGACAATAAAGAATTAACATTGTATGAACAGCAGATGGCAGAGAGTATCAGCGAGTGCATCTGTGTATCGACAACAGTTTACAGTAAGCAAAACAAGTACGACGCAATGAATGAACAGCAGCTGACTAGAATACCAGAGGATTAAACAGTGAACGAACAACAACAGACAATTAACACCAGAATACAATACAATTAACGAACAACAACAGACAATTAACACCAGAATACAACACAATTAACGAACAACAACAGACAATTAACACCAGTGTACAACACAATTAACGAACAACAACAGACAGTTAACAACCAGTGTACAACACAATTAACGAACAGTAGTTGATAGTGAGCAAAAGAATACAACACAACGAAAAGCAGTTGACAGTGAATAGCTCAGAACAAAACACTAAGCGATAACGATAAATATAACAATATTTATATCCACAATTCAACTGCTGCTATTTCTGCAACAAACGCAGGTTAATATATAAACAATAATTCTAAGAACATTATAAATTGTTACACAAATAAGGATATAATAAATAATAAAATAACAAATACATTATTATTTGTTCTTCCAGAGTGTTTTTGTGAGTTTTTAATTTTGTGTGTTGCTGTGTTTTGTTCGGTATTTTACTATGATTAGTTCAGTGTTTTCCTGTTTTTGGTATTTTTTTTAACTGTGATTTGCTTCTTGCATTTTTGTGATTTATTCATGTAATGTGATTTTGTTTCCAATTAGAACAAAGGAGGGTTAGCTCCAGAATTAGTAAGTGCTCAAAGCTGCCTATAAGCTGCCCAAACCTTGACACGGAGAAGCTGTAAATAAATTAGTTGATTGACTGATTGATTAATAATTACGATGAACCAGAAGACCCAAAACAGGAAACGGGAAAACGTCTGAAGAAGTTTGAAGGAAATAATGCGAATATGGGGTGGGTGAGAGACGATTAGGCAGTACTGGAGGGGTGGAGCAGTAATGGGTGGAAGACAGCGCAACGGCAGGAAGGCAGGGGGGGGGGCTGGAAGGAAGGGGGGGGGGTTGAGTGGAAGGAAGGGGGGAGGGGACAGGCGGAAGAGGAGAGAGGAAGAGAGTTGTTAGGAAGAGCTTGCGACCAAAAGGAACTCGGTCAGTTTTAATTAATTCCTTCCTTGCCCTGCATTCTCTCACGTTTCATTTTTGCCTGTTAATTGGAGTATGGCATCAGCCAGGTGGTGAGAGGCATCAGCCAGGTGGTGAGAGGCACCAGCCAGGTGGTGAGAGGCACCAGCCAGGTGGTGAGAGGCATCAGCCAGGTGGTGAGAGGCACCAGCCAGGTGGTGAGAGGCACCAGCCAGGTGGTGAGAGGCATCAGCCAGGTGGTGAGAGGCATCAGCCAGGTGGTGAGAGGCATCAGCCAGGTGGTGAGAGGCATCAGCCAGGTGGTGAGAGGCATCAGCCAGGTGGTGAGAGGCATCAGCCAGGTGGTGCGAGACATCAGCCAGGTGGTGAGAGGCATCAGCCAGGTGGTGAGAGGCATCAGCCAGGTGGTGAGAGGCATCTGCCAAGTGATGCGAGGCATCAGCCAGGTGGTGAGGCATCAGCCAGGTGATGCGAGGCATCAGCCAGGTGATGCGAGGCATCAGCCAGGTGATGCGAGGCATCAACCAGGTGGTGAGAGGCATCAGCCAGGTGATGCGAGACATCAGCCAGGTGGTGTCCACACAGTTACAAAAAGTACTATCTAAACAGGATGGATTGCCGTATTCGACGGATTGATGAAGCCAAGGCCTCACTTCTTACAGGTCGGCGTTCGATCCCCAATGGTCCTAGTGCTTGGGAACCGTTCTTTCCCTTCTTCCTCGTATTCCTATCCTATCCTCCTATTCCTTCCAAGTGCTATATAAAGTGCTGGCTTAGTTTTGTCTCCTGATAATAAATTCCTTACTTCCTGCTATCGTTTTCAATGGTAAATTTTCCTTTAATATTTTATTTCTACTTTTGTATTAATGTTGTTCTTGCTGCTGCTCATGTTGTTTATATTTCTGTCGTTACTCGTATTAATGCCCATTTTGACAACTACCTTTGATACATATTGGTAATATGCCTTTTCTGTTATTTTTAATGTCATTTCTGTTCTTCTGCAGTTTCTGTCAATGTTGCATGCAGGCTTTTTCAGATTATATTGTTGTGGCTGCTGATTCTGCTGTGATTCTAGTGACGTCAACTGGAATGGCATCTGCGTCTTATATCAATAATGCTGAAGGCGAAGGAAGTAGCTGAATCTTGCGCTCGACTGAACAAGCTATAAATTTCGCTGGTTATTTCCCCTCAGTCCAAATTCGGAATTAGCTTGTGAAGCGTGCGTAATGTGTCGCAATGAGTAGCGAGTTCGTGTCCTTGTCGAGGACAGAGAATGTTAGCTATGTCTTCCTTCACTCAAATGCGTGATGCAAAATCATTCCCAGCTCTAGCAGAGGTGCACAGTAGAAGGAGCGAACTCTCCTGGAATGTTTACGGAAGCCTTTAAGCAGCGTCCGACTTTATCCATGAGTTACTCCTTCTGAGATGCACTTAAGTGTATATATCTAAGCTCATAACATGCTTTAACGGGGCATTTGGCAAGCGGTTGATTCAACATTCTCTGGTTTTAGTGGCCATAGTCCTGCTGACTTATGACGTTCTGTGACTCATGGCGGAGTTTGTGTTTTCCGAGGACCTCGACGATGGTGAGAACATAGTTCCAGGAAGGAGCTGTACTTACGCAGTGGGTATCATAGTGAGCGTCTCTGGGTAGGTAGGATAACCCGGGTGATGGATGAATCTAAAAATTCACATTACTTCATGATCATGAATATTAATAAATTTCTTATCTAATATTAAGTTGTGGTGTTCTTCCTGCCTGATAGTGTTTGAAGACAATAGTACTATGCTAGGTAGTAGTTAGGGTGTTGGGGTTAAGTCTTATGCTGTCTCAGACATATAATACCAATCAAAGCTGGTAGCGAAGGGAATTCAAGAAAAACACAAATTTCTCAGCTGTTATATACCATGGCATTTAAATAAAAATTTCCTTTTTTTTGCAGTTGTTTTGGAATGTGGTAACGAAAGCGACAACCCAAATTATGTAGCATTATATTCAAAATTATAGTAGCTAATTCCATTTCCAGAGCTACCAGAAGATCTCCTGCATTCCTTTGGAAAATTATATCCATTTGCTTAGCTAATTGAAACGATATTTCCGCTGCAACTCAAGGACATTACTCCTACCCAGCTAAATGCAGGAAATTCGTCCGTCCTTTGCTTCAGAAGAAGATCCCTAGTACTCTCTTCCATCAAGATGGCCGTCCTTTGATGCCAGACTTGGCCAATCTCTGAACAAGTCCACAAGAGCCGTGACGAGGATTCGAACCTGCGTCCGAGAGCATCCCAGACGCTGCCTTAATCGACTGAGCTACGACATGGTCAAAAGAGTTGAAACCGAAGTTCTACTGAACTTCGAGGATTTGTTCATTTCATGCGTCACGTTATTGTGATTTCTGCGTGTAATTGGCCAATCTATGTCAAGGCCATCCCTCCATACGATACACACTCATTCCAGGGAAGGAATTGTTTCAAAGTTTGTCATCGTTCCCGTTCTGTGGGATTCAACTATGTAGCCACAGTTTACATATAATTATTAATTATATTTCATCAAATTTGTGACAGTCGTAATGCAATATTGAGAGGTCAGTATGGTGTACCGTGAATTATGTTATGGTCTGATAGGATTTGACTTCAGAACCCCTTGTCCCTACTTAAGTCACTATTAGGGAATGAATATGCCACTTGAGTCCTGAGATAACATCTTTAATTACCTAAAGATTCTACGCCAACTTGAAGTGAAAAGTCCATGGGATTATAAGTGGATACTACTACTACTTTCAAATACTACTTCGGCAGTATTGTGTATACTCGCGTATACGTTCGGATCTTGAGGAGCAGTCTGTGCTGATGAATGAATGATTCGTCTTTCATCTTGTGGTTTCGTACAGCAGTAATGTATGTGGACGAACCGCACCCTTGCGGCTGAAAAGGCTTTCATTTACACATCTACAAGCAATGGGACCTAACAGCTGAGTGGACAGCGCTCGGTGTTCGTATTTCTAAGAGCCCTGGTTGGATCCCCGGTGGAAACGGAACCAAATGGGCAGAGTTTCCTTTACCCTAATGCACCTGTTCACTCTGCAGTAAATAGGTATCTGGGAGTTAGACAGCTACCTCGTAGCAACTGTCTAATTGTTTCTGGTGATGTGTGTGTGTGAAAATTAGGATTAAGGGCTTGTCCGATAGTGGATAATGCGTGCTAGTGGCTGTACAAGACTGTAAGAACTCCTGAATATATAAATTAATTAATTAATAAATGATAAAGAAGAATAGATGAATATATTATAAACAGAAGAGAGAGAGATAGAGAATAGGAAAGAAAAAAATGTACAAGCAACGGAGAGAGTGAATTTAATACAATAACTCTTAATTGTGATACATATAACATAATTATTTTGAAAGTATATTACGTTATAAACTATGTTTATAGTGACACACTGACAGACACATTGACTGGGGAAGGCATGTTAAAAGAGGCAGAGAGGAACAGAGAAATATACATTCCTGGAAATATGTATCTGTCACCAGTTAGTAAAAATGTCTAACTAAAAGAAACACGTATTTGATTTCTCTTCCAGCTTCCCCACAAAACAGGTCACTGAGGGGTAAAAGACCTGTGGATGGTTCCTCTAAAAATCTTCCATACTTTCTTCATCGGTCGCTCAAAATGCCATTAACGTCCCTTTGTCGACTAATGGTTTGCCTTTCACTAATTGCTCAATTATCCAAGATGCAATTAACCAGAAATTTAATTCGGAAACTGATGGACCGTAAACTTAATTACCAAAGAGTCGCTTACGAAGAGCTGAGTATATCTACGGCAGAGCTTCCACAGCTGTGGAAGCCAAAGCTTCCTCACGTACCTGTATGTCCCCCGTCACATGATAATTTTAACGCATAAAACATGCATGTTATTAGGGGGCAGAATTTTAGTGAAGAAGTAACATGCTTTATATTTTCATTTATATTTATATATACATATGTCATCTGTTTATTCGAGGGTGGCGCCCTGACGCCTGGGGCTAGCCTCACCAAACATTGCAGGGGGATTTGTGACTGTATGGGGAGTGTCACAGGGTGGTTAATTGGAGTCGACCCCGTATGCCTCTTCATAAGAAAGATCAGCTACTATTCCCAATCCCAGCGACTCCTATGAAGTATGAAAAGCGAGTTTAATTGTCTGTAGTGTTAAAACAGATTTTATGGTTTCTGACGACGTTGAAACAACGTATATATGGGATGCTGCAACTTGCAAGTCTATACATTAATTAGGAGTTCTAATCTGATCTAATAAGTTATGTGAGTTTAATAACTGTATTAAAGTCTAACGTATTTAAATTTTGTTTTTTAGAAAGCCTTATTGGCTAAACGGTCTTTAAAATTATGTTTTCCTCCTTCAACATATTATAGTATCAACTCATATTTAGGTTATTGTTGTTTGTATCCATAACATTTTGTGCAATATTACAATCTTCTTCAGACTTTGATTGTTATTATTGTTATTTAAAGACTGCAGTGAACTTTTATTAACAAAATATCCCTCCACTTTCATTCCCATTTAGGTATATATTGATTAGATAATTTTTAAATACTTAGTTCAAGTTGTGCTTGCCTAATCATTCAATCTTTTGATACAAATTTGACATTTCATTTATATAAAAAAAATTGTAGTACAATTTTGCCAATATTCTTTCAATACTGCACTGACTGAACCTGTTTTAACTGTCTTTGATTTCACAAAGTCATCAATAAAAACATAGCATTCAGCTGGTTTTGAATTTTCATATTTTTTTGTTTTAATTATAATAGTTTTTTCATTGACACATCATATTACATAGTTCCACTAAAATTATATATAAAAATATGACAATTTAATAAAATATATAATTTATTAATCAACAGACCAAAGGATATAATAATTGTTATTGTCAACGATACAATTGATCATAACAGAGATTATATCGGAAAAAGTTGGTGCCAGAGGATTTTTTTACACTAGTTCACATATTTTTAAAACAGTCGAGCAATTAGCGAAGACCCAACTACCCGGCCATTGCACAATGATATCACAATAACGCCATTTATCTGTTAGACTATTATGGCGATAGATGGAACTGACCTCGTTGCATCTCTGGATGATGCAACAAAAGGCCCGCCTCCCACCACCCACACAACCATTGTTCTACAAGAATCAGAGCCAGAAAGGTTCGAAGTGGTTCTCACATGGTACCCATGTGGTACCATGGTACCACATGGGTACCCACAATAATTGATGAGAATTAATGGCACAATCGACTTGAAAATGGTCCAGGACGGACCGAAACGTCGTTGTCCCTTCACCTTCTAGTGTGTGGTCTGGTCAACATACTTTAGCCACGTTATTGTGACTCATCGCCTGCATAATGGCACCCACAGTTCATTAAAAATTTAAAATTCAGTTACTTATACATATTATGTTTTTTTCTGAAAAGCTTACTGATGTAAGTGTAATGAAAAATAAAATTATGAGGAGAAAGCGTTAAACAAGTATGACTATCCTGGGGACCATTCAGGCTTGTTC